ATCACTACCACTACCATCACCATCAACCAAGTCTTGTATTACTACTACTACTACTACTACTTTACTACTACTATATTAGTATTATTAGTAATAATAATAATAATAATAATAGTTTTTAATCTTTCTTAATCCGTTACCTTTCTTGCTTTTACCAAATTTGATCATTCTTTTCCTTTCTTCTTCTCCTTTTACGCCCCCTCTCTTTACTTCTCTCGCTTGCTTTTCATTTCTCTACACATTTTATCGCTTATTTTCTTTTCTTCTTTTTTCTTTTTCAAAATTTTCTCGAATTTTCCTGCTTTCCCCCCGCCTCTCTGTTTCAATCGAATTCTCCCTTTTTCTTTCCTTCTCACTTTTACTTACATTGATTCTTGTCCTCTATTTAAACTCTCTTTTTTTGTTTTATGTATCACTTTGTTGCTATTCTTATCTCTTCTTCTTCTTCTCCCCACCTCCTCCTCCTCCTTCTTCTTCATCTTCCTCCTCCTCCTCCTCTCTTTAAAGTGCAATACTTTCTTCTGCAGCATCATTCTAGTTATCTTTTCACAACATCACCCTTCTCTTTGTTTCTTCTTATATCTTCTTCTTCTTCATCTCCTCCCCCTCCACCTTCTTCTTCTTCTTCTTCTGCCCTCCTCCTCTTCCTCTCTTTAAAGTGCAATACTTTCTTCTGCAGTATCATTCTAGTTACCTTTTCGCAACAACGCCCTTCTCTTTGTTTCTTTTTCTTCTTCTTCTTCTTCTTCTTCTTCTTCTTCTTCTTCTTCTTCTTCTTATCGGCTTATTCCTTCTTCTTCTCCCCCTCCTTATTCTTTTCCGCCTCATCCGTCTTTTTTTTCTTCTTCTTGGCCTATTCCTTCTTCAGCTCTTTTTCCTCTCCTCCTAATCCTACTACTTTTCTTCTTCTTCTTCTTTTTCTTCTTCTTCTTCTTCTTCTTCTTCTTCTTCTTCTTCTTCTTCTTCTTCATGACGCGTTAATCTACTTATTTCTTTCAATCATGATCCTCAAAACAACGTTACTTTAGTTTAATATTTTGTTTTGTTTCAATTACTTTCCTTCTCTTTTCTCTCTTTCGTGCCATTTCCTTATTACGAACATTACCGACAAGGAACCACCTTGAACCTCTTCATATTTCACTCTCTCTCTCTCGCTCTCTCTCTCTCTCTCTCTCTCTCTCTCTATCTATCTATCTATCTATCTTTGCCTCTCTCAGCAGTGCGTACAATAACAATCTGTTCACTCTCTCTCTAATTGCGAATTTATCTCTAATTTTGCTAATCTTTTCCTTTCCACTTCTCTATCTTTTCATTGAAAATTTACCCGACATTCCCTGCTTTCTCATTGTCTTTCTCTCTTTCAAATTCTTGTTTTTTCTCTTTTTAACTTCTGTTTCTGCACATCATTTGTTTTCTCTTTTGTTTTGTGCCTCATTCCTCCCTATCATTGCTGCTCTCCTTCTTCTTCTTCTTCTTCTTCTTCTTCTTCTTCTTCTTCTTCTTCTTCTTCTTCTTCTTCTTCACATTCTCTATCTTTCCATCTGCTATATATATATATATATACTCCTTTGCTTTTATCTCTCCATTAACTTTTCTTCAGATTCTTTTCCCTCTCTCTTTCACCGTATCTCTCTTTTGCGTTTTTATCGTTGTTTTTATAACTTCCTGTATTATTTTGTAGTCATATTATTTCATGAGTAAATTCAGAGTTTTAAAGTTTAACAAAAGTTCCAATAAAAACAAAAGCAAGAACATCCCACACCAAGAAACAAAAATTTAATTAAGAAACAAGAAATTGAACAAACAACAAACAAACGTTTTTACAAAATTACCATTGCACCATCAAAAAAATATTTTAAACAAGATAAAAACGAAAAAAAACAAAAACAGAAACAAATGGAAGGAAATAAAAAAAAAGATAATGTCAGATTTTGAACAAGAAATTTACTAAAGAAAAAACCCTGGGAATTGAAAAACATTAAATAAAAAAAGTAAAGGGATAATGAAAAAATATGTCGTTAAAAGAACCGGATAAATTAAAAATTAGCCCAAAGAAATGACAAAATAAAAATAAAATGATTTGGTAGCAAATGGCCCACAACGCGATACGTAAGTGGTAAGACATTTTTAGTTCAATGATTGGAGCAATATTTTAAAGAGAATCTTCTCAAAGAAGGTACGTGCGTCAAACCAGAAAATGGGCGGAGTTAACCTAGAGTCAGCGTGCCTTCTCATTGGTCTGTTCTGACAGCATGTTAGATTACGTCAGCGATGAAAATGGCGCTAGTTTTAGACGGGACAGCAGCAACAGCAACACTTAGGTCACTACCAGTACAACCGCTACCGCCATTATTATTATTATTATTATTATTATTATTATTGTTATTGTTGTTGTTCTTGTTTTTGTTGTAATTAGACTGCTAGTGTAATAAATGCCATGGAGCGAGTTATCAAGTAAGATACAAGCGTAGGTTATGGTGTGTGTTCTTGGTACGGGTCGGGTCGGTTGGACTCTTGGAGTGCATTGGTGACGAAGGCGGCGGATGAGAGTGTAAGCGCAGTGATGGTGGAGGTGTCTGAAAGGGAAGCAGGGTGGGTGTTACTCAAACTGGTTGTTCTGATCAGTTTTAATATAACACAAGTCGAAAAATGGCGAAGTGGTGGAGATTAAAGTAATGGGTTGGTAGCTGTGTTTGGTGCGAACGAGATGTGGTGGATGCAAAGGGAAAAGATAGGGGAGGTGGTCCATCGTGGTTGGGTCAGGGAGGGCCGGCGGGGCGATGCGAGATAGAGACTCAGGTATGGATGGAATGGATAGGTGGGTAGAAATGGCCTGCGTGAACTGGGTAAATTTTGTTGTTGTTGTTGTTGTTGCTAATGCCCCGAAAAAAGATTTGCTGATGCAACGTGCTTCGCGTTCAGTGGGACGTGCCTTTCAGAAAAAAAAAAAAAAAATAGAATTCACATATTTTAGATTGCAAATCTGCTTCTGCGTTTTCAGGGGTGCGTGTGAGAAACAAATGTAGATCTACGCAACACTGCTTGCATATATGCATAAGTAAGGAACAGGTCGATTATATATATGTACGAATGCACACTTATGTGTATACGCAAATTTAAACACAAATTTATCCATGTTTCCGCGAGTAAATACTGTTTGCATGCGAATTCACAAACGACTCTTCTTTCTTCAGGACATGTAAGATTATAGCTCTCCACGTCTTCCTGTTGTTTAGAGGACAAATCAACATTTGTTCACACGCTTTTCCTTCCATTATGTTGGTTATTTGTTGTTTCTCTCGGCTCCTGTTGCTCGCAATATACCTTATGAGTGTCAAATTCTCCAAGTCTTGCTTCCTCGTTTTGCTTCCCAGAAATTTCAGCTGTCTTATCCTTTTCTTCAAAATTTACTCAAATATTTCGTCTTTTTTTATTCTGAAGAACCTACTGTAGAACCACATCTTTCATCGATGAACCTTTTTTTTTTTCAGATGATTATTGTGTCTTTTATGTTCAAATCTTTTCCCTTTTACTATGTAAATCAACCTCCTGATTCTTGCTATTATGCCGTCTTCGCACATTACTTTGCCATCCTTATATCTTCTAAAGAATGGTTTATTGCCAACCTTGAAACTTTTGGTGTTATTTTTGTTATCTGTTCGTGTTTTTTGACTTGGTAATAACTTGTCGAACACAGATTTGACTTTTCTAGCAAACATTAATTCAGCTGGCGACATATCTGATGGTGTATTGGGGTTAGGTGTTACACAGTAAACTCTCAGAAAAAAAGTGCTTCCTTATTTATTGTCTCAAGACTTGCTTTCTTCAACAGCCTTTTGAATGTTCCCACATTCGACATTGGCTGATAAAACAGGGTCGTAATATACTCAATGGGGAACATCTTATAAAAATCTTTGAATTCTTTATCCATGAATTGCGTTGCATTATAAGTGAATATAATAACTGGTATGCCATATTTCACAAACTATTCAGATAAGAAATTCAGTGATTAAAGATGGATTTTTGCACTTATAAATTTCTGGCCATTTAGTGAAATTATCAGCTACTACAAGATAATGTGTATTCATTCATAGGACCTGCAAAATCTATAGGCAGTTTTGACCACAGCTTGTCTGTTTTGGGCCAAGGTTCTATCTTTGTGATAGGTAGTTTTGCTGCCAGAGTACAACCTCTGTAAGCTTTCACTATTTTTTCAATATCTTGATCCATTCTGGTCTAATATATCATCAGAGATTTCATTCTTGAAATACCAGGATGTCCGCGATGAAAATCCTTCAATATTCACTTCTGTAGCACATTAGGTATTACAACTCTTTGCCTAAACATTACTACACCGTTGCATAGCAAGTAAGCATTTAAGTTTGGATTTCGTTCTTTGTTACTTGCTTTTTTTATCTTCGCAATAAAGCCTTCTATTTCTTCCAGACTAACTGGTAACTCTCACAGTACGTTGTACAAAATGCTTTTTTTTTATTTCCATTTCTATTTTAATGATGCAACGACCGTGTCCTAAACTTCAAGTCTAATCCTCATCAGGAAATTGTCCAGTATAAGATAAAGGTAATTTTAATATTAGCCGTTTCCCTATAAGGAAACATTTGGCATTAATTGACTGAAAAATCCAAATACTGCTGTCATACTGCTGTCAGTTGACATTTATAAAATCTTTCTCTATTTTCAGGAAAATATGTTTCTCGAGTACAATATTGTTTCATGACTGATTTTTAAGGTCTACCAATCTTTTCCAGGTTATTTAAAGCCAGAAAATATGTTTACATTACGGATATATTAATGGTTTAGTGATGCAAATAATACTGATTCAGCCATAGTTGTGGGGAGAATAGGCTATTTGCGGGTATGCAATTATAACGAACCTGACTGGAATTAGAACTTGGTTCTACGAGTTCCAATTCTGAGCTGTTATCCCACACATCCAATCTTACAGCGCCTAGTATTTGGTCACCCTTCTCGGTGCTGACCAATCACGACGTTGCTTAACATCGTACGAGAACTGCTGTTTCAATGTTATTTCAACTATTAGTTTCTTGACACTTCCAATCTTGCTTCCCTTAAGTCTCGTGAGTTTTAAATTCCCCAATTCCACCTTCCTCATTATGTGTCCGAGAAATTTCAACTGTCTCTTTCTGATTGTAAGTATCTGCCGCCTTTTCGTTCCTGTTTTCCATAAATCTTCTTCATTGCTTACATATTTTATCCATGGAATTCTTAGCATCCTTCTGTAGAACAAAATCTCTGTCACTTCATTGATTTTTAACAAAAATCAAGAAGGCATTGATCCCTAATGGTCAAGTATTCAACTACCCAGTCAACTTCCATATTGAAAAGGACACATGGCACAGTGGATAAAACCGTTGGTTAGATCCAGTGACAGGACCCAAAGAGTGAGAGTTCAATACCCTGTTAAGGCATTGGAGAACTTTCAGAGGGAAATTAGCAGGAGATAACTGATAACTGACATCCATCAAACATGGCACTTGAAACTAGAACAGTCTACCCCAGTGAGCGAAATAAAGGGTTCAGTTCGAAATTCCAACCACCTGAAGAAGGCCGGAGCGTACAACGGCCGAAACGTTGTGACAAATATGGCGACAAAGATGAGGACAATGGTCCGAATAATGTAAATAATGTACATAATACCACATTTCAGAAATATAGACAGACTCTGAAAAATTTAAATGCAATATCTGTCGTTAACTTCTGTCCTCTTAATTCTTGTTCTTTCATTGTTCACTCTTTTTTAACGTTTTCTAACACTTTTGTGTCTTAGGGGCTTTCTTGCCTTGCTTGGGATGAAATGATTATGAAATATATATATTTAGACTAGCAGAATCTTTCTCTTTATGGCCGATCATGGCTCCCGACAAATTCCTGAGAGGCTGGAATTCTTTAAATAACAACATTTGTAATTTCTGACCTAAAATTCTTTTCAGCACATTCTTCTTCTTTATGTGTCGTGTCACCTGATGAACGATCATGGCTCTCCACCATTTCCTGTCTTTTCTATCACTAGTCATCGTTTTTCCTTTTATCATCTCTAATCGTCTCTATCATTCATTTATATAAATGCATTAGTTTGGTTATTAGCTTATTCCCGCTTCTAATCTTGCTTCTCTTAAGCCATGTGAGTTTTAAATTCCCCAATCCCACCTTCTTCATTATGTGTCCCAGAAATGTCAACTGTCTCTTTCTGATTGTAAGTATCTGCCGCCTTTTCGTTCCCGTTTTCCTTAAATCTTCTTCATTGCTTACATATCCTGTCCATGGAATTGTTAGCATCCTTCTGTAGAACAAAATCTCTGTCACTTCAAGTCTCATTTTTTTCTGGGAGAAAATTGACCAGCACGCACTACTATATTCAACACTTTCTTCATTGTTTTTTTTAATGAAATTTTCCTATCTCTTAATACTTTGTTTAGTCTCTGGAAGGTATCTAAACTATTACAGTATCTCTTCGCGTCTCTTTATCACATTTTCCATCTTCTGTTACGGCACTACCCAAGTAGTTCAAATTTTGTATCTGCTTGATTCTGATGTCCCCAATTCTAAGCGTACACCTCGGGCTGCTTCTCTCACTAGAGTATTCTGTCTCCTTGCAATTATTATTAATCATGTCTTCTCTCTTTTAGACCTTGTCTACGTGTTCTTGCTGTCTCTATTAT